CTGATGCACGCTGTATCCACGAGCGCTGCCCATACTGCCCCGCGTCGATGGCGGACAGACGCTTGAGGGCCCCTAGATCGTAGTTGCGCTCGTCTGCGATGTGGGACCACACGGTGCCGACGGTGGCCTGCTTGAGGTGGGGGAATGCGACGGGCTCCTCGTTGTCCGGCAGGTCGATCTTCTTGAACTGGCCGGTCTTGTCGCGCATCATGCGCTCGACGGTCAGGCGCGCGTGGCGGTCGGTCACCTGGCGGCGGTTGTGCTGCAGCCCCAGTGCCTCCTTCTCAGTGGACACCGAAGCCTGCAGCACGACGCTCTCGACGGTTGGGGCCAGGCTCTCGAGAGCAGATACAGCAGCGACGGGGGGGTGGGGCGGTGGTTGATGAGCAGATGCTTGCACAACGAACGACCTACACACACCACAACACATCTGGTGTGTGCCCATTCCCGTCTGTTCTTTCATCGCTCCGTTACTTACGCGTCAAATTCTTGGTGGTGTCCATGGATGGCCACGTAGGCTCCCTGGCCTGCATGGACACATACAAGCCAGGAACGCATCCAATGTCGGTGCATTCCGGTGTGGATCTTTCTTACGAGCTCAAACGTCTTGTGCGCCCCCCCGCTGCCTTTCTTTTGGAGCATTTTGGCGGTGGCGCTTTTCGGCGGGGTCATCATGAGGTCGTAGACCCACCCGACCGGCTTACTATCCATCCACTTATCGATGTCCGTCAGGTGGACCCTTGGACCGACGCGCCACCACGTGACGGCCAAGGCGCCCAACAGGACCAGCAAACTGTGCATCGCGCTGGAATACACCATCATGCGAATGCTTTCAGCAGGAGAACCTTTCCAAAAGCCTTTGCAAAGTTTTTTTTCAAGTCGATCGACAGGCTCTTCCTTTAGCTCGCACGATGCGCTTGAGAAAGGATCTGGCCAATCTCTTCCATAGAAGTGACCAGCATGCTGTCCTGCATCAGCAGAAGGTCGAGCCGACGCTGAGTGTTGTCATTACACAAAGATCTGCTTCAAATTGTACGGGGCCCGCACCCCGAGTGAGGATGGATGTAACACAAAGCCAGTAACTGTACCGCTACCACATAAACACATTCACACGGGGACTGCGAGAAAGGGAGAAGGGCAGTAGAGCAGAAGGGCAGTAGAACGGTCGTGTCCGCTTGGCAGCCGAAATGCGGCTCAATGCGGCAGGCCTCTCTCCCCTTGTCGGTCTGTCTGTCTGTCTGTCTCACAGATGGCGGACCACTCACTGCACTCACTGCACTGACTGCACACAGGCAGGCAGACATACATATACGTACCTGCACAGAGGCTAGACACACAGACAAAGGAAGCGCCTGTCTGCCGCGGGACTGAGGGGGGAGGGGAGCGCTAGCAAAAAGAGCTGACGAGGCCACGTGTGTGTGAGTGAGTATGATAGATACACGGCTGCTGCCGGTGAGTGTACAGTCGGGAGGGAGTCGGCAGCGATGTAGGGCCCTCCCTGTGTGCGTGCGGCTCCAAAACCAATCGGCACGACACACCTGCACGTATGTACGGTGGGGGCGGTGCGGGCGGCAACCCCAAAACCAGAAACGCGGTGATTGTACTTACACCTGCCTGCCACAGCAGCGAGTGGGTGGGAGCTCATATGCCTGGACCTACCAGCCCAGCCAGTGCTACTAAAGCCTACACAGCCACACGGATATGTGTGTGCCGCACACACATCAATGCTGTGTGCGATGGGTGCAGCTCAGCTCAGCCACCAAATAACACGAACACAAAGCCAGCAGACGGCTACAGGTTAGTGTCGTGTCGCGTGGTGAGAGGGAGTCGTGTTAGTCAATTGGATCGGTGCGCCGATCAATCGGACAGACACACATGCACCACGGCACGAGCCACGAGCCATGCACCAACAGCACCAGTAATGGAATCCATTCCATTCATGGAAAAATATCCAACACGCACGGACGCACGAAGGGCAAATCCCACGGGAAAGAAACACACACCATACAGACACGCACACACACACTCCCAAGCAGCTGTCCACTGACGTACAGACGCACACACAGGTGCACGCATAGGGACATAGAGAGGGGGTGGGGTGAGTGTGTGTGGGGTGGGGGTGGATAGTGCAAGTGTGGGTATGCGTCCATGTGTATGTGTATCTGTATTTGTTTCCGTCTAAGCAAGTGCCAGACACACACACACCGATGAACACGTGTGTGAGTGTGTGGAGGTGGAGGTGGAGGTGGCTGGTTGTGAGTGAGATGCTCTCTCTGCCCGACAGACACATGGATACATACGTATGTGAGGGTTTCTGACTAGGCCAGCTGGCCAGCGCAGGCAGGTACATACTCACATGTAGATGGATGAGGTGTGCGGCGGCACAAGGACCTGTCGATGGGATGGATGGGCCGAAAGCAGTTGTGGAAAACGCGGCCAGCGACGAAAAACAGCGGCGGAAAGAGCAGTGCTCTTGCGCAGCAGAGGAAGCTGTGTTTCGTGTCCTGTCAGCAAGCAGTAGGAGGGAGGGGTCGACTCCAAATCAGAAGAGACAGTGTCTGCTCCTGGTGCGCATGTGTGTGCCTGTGTGGGTGGGCGTGTCGCGGGCCGCAAAGCAGAACCTCGGGATGACAAAAGGAAGCCTGCAGATGAATGGTGGACCAAAAATGCGGAGACAGTCAGTAAGTCGGTCAGTCAGTCAGTCAGTGGTAGGTCGCCCCAGATGCATCGGATCGACCTTTGTGTGCTCGTGGTGCGCATGTGTGTCTTGGCAGTCGGGTGTGGTGTGAAGCGGGCCGCACCCAAAACCGCCAAAGCAGGAGAGGAGCAGTGAGCCTGTGGGTGCCTGCAGTAAGGTAAGCCTATACATCCATCCAAACAGCACACGGTGAGTGGAGTGAGTGAGTCGAATGAGCCGTGGACCAAAAATACAATACATACGCAGTCAGTCAGTAGAAGTAAGTCGACATGGATGCACACAGGCATCGCGTTACGCTCACGCCTCTACACGCATCTCGCACATCCACGAAGCATGGGTCACGATTGTCACCACATAATAGTGAATTCGTCTGTCCTCCATCCATCCATCCAGACATACACACCGACCGATGCAGCCAGCCACCAAGCCAGACAGAACAAACACTCATTTCATTCGACCCCGAGCCAAGGCTCACGCAGCGACCACAGCTTAACTGTATATCGGCCACACACGCGCCCCTGAGAGGCCAGTAAGTCGACCAGCCAGCCGCAAGGCCCGTCCGTGGCCTTCTGACGGCGGACACTTCCGCGGACAAACACCCCACCAAGTCCCTTACCCCCACAACACGCTGGCTGCATCACAGTCAGTCAACGGGCAGGCATGGGCCTCATTCATCCATTCTGGCAGCCAGTCATTCACAAATAAGTACGCAACCAGAAACTACCAGACAATGCCGATGTCTACACCGACACTCTGACAGACGTCAGGCCACCCACACCCATGGCCAGCCCCGGGCCGACACCATCCATCCATCCATCCACCCTCCACCAACCGACCTCTCGCCCCCGACAAGCACCACCACCACCACCAACCGATTGTTTCGGTCAACGAGAACACCGCCGACGCACATAAGAAGTAGACAGACGGGGAGTAGACAGCGACACACCACACCCACGCACACGAACGAACAGGGAGTGTCTGCACCATACGGAGAGACGAAGAGAATACGGCAAAGCAGTGTCTGCACCATACGGAGAGACAAAAAGAATACGACAAAGGAGAAGAAAAGGCAACGGGTAGGGCTGCTGACTCAAAAGCAATACAATACAATACACTCATTAACTAACGTACGAAAACAAAAAACAGCCATCCTCCCCCGTCTGTCTACATATATGGGGGCGCGGGGGCCTCTTTTCGTGGTGGCGGTGGATGGTGGGTGGGGTGCTTCTCGTCGGCCGGAGAGGGCACAGACGCTGCGGGCTGGTCGATGGCCGAACGACTTCAGCCCCTCCAGGAGGTCACTGTTGCCGGTGGTGGGTGCTGGTGGCTGAGATGGACGAAGGGCAGCGCGTTTCTGTCGGTCAGCCTCGTTTGGATTTATCTCACTGCCCACAACCACGTCGTGCCCTTGAGGCAGCAGCTGTGGTGGCGACACCAGCCGAGCGCCCTTCTTGTCCCACTGGTCGTCTGCAACCACCCGCATGAACCTCTCGGTGCACGCCGTGCAGCCGCTGGGGACCATGTAGGATGGGATGGAGGAGAGGCCCTCCAATATGGACCCCTGGGGGGCCGACCAGTGGTTGAGCAGCTGGGACTGCAGCTGCTCGACCGTCTTGGGAGGGGAGCTGATAGAGTGGCTGTCCGCTCGATGAGCTAACTGCCGATCGACTTGCTGGGCATCCTGTCGTCTCCTTGCGGACTCAGGGATGAGGGCGGCTGGCGGGTGCCTGCTTTGGCTTCATCGGTCGGGCTGGTGGCGGCTCGTAAGGAGCCAGAGTCATCTCAGGCAGACCGAAACGCACGAAGGGCAGCATCAGAGGCTGCCGAGCCAGTGGCGCAGCGGGACCCATCGTCGTCCTCCTCGCCAAAGGCCACACGCCACTTGGCCTCGCGCAGGATGACAGGGGGGGCACTTGCTCACCTCGTCTGATCGACACGAGGGGCACGGGAGTGAGAAGCTTGTTTGTGTGCTGTGTTCGTTTCCCCATCCCTGTGTCGTGCGTACCGTCTTCGCTCTCGTCAGCGCTTTCGTCGCCCTCGTTGGTGGCGTCCTTCTTGCTACCCCACACAAACGCTGCATACACAGACCGGCACCCATCAGATCGTCCTTGTCCCGTCTCGCCCTCCCTCCCACATGTGCCTTACGTGTCCGTCTGCTTGAATTCTCGTCATCGCTACCCCTGATCTCGATACGCATCTCCCCCTCGCTGCTCGCGGCCCTTTGGCCCTTCCACACATCGCTACGGCACGCCCTTAACGTCAGAGGCTCAGAGGGATGCTACTCGGCCGGCTAAGAGGCAGATGGGGGGTTGGCGGCCTCGAACCAAGACGATGACGCCGCCGCTGCGGCATCGGACTGCTCACATGAGCCTGAGGAAGGAAAGGACACAAAATCGAGATGCGAATACATTCACTTATCATGTGTGTCTCCTTGTTGCCTCTCTCACCGGCAGCAAGAGCGTCTTTGTCCTCCTTGCGCTGATTGTCCACTCCCCGTTCCTTCGCGCTGCCAGCACTCCTGGCCTTCGTGGACGCACAGCCGTCCGAACCGCCGCCCTCCGGGACCGCGCCCTCCCCACTGGGCGGCGACAATGCGCATGACTGGGTGTCTGCCTTGGCTATAGATGTCGTCGACAATGCGCATGACGCGCTCGGCGAGCTCTCTCTGGGTGCCGGCACAGTCATGTGCTGGATGGCCTGGGCGTGGGCCTCCTGCATGACTTGTGACCTCCTTGTCGAGCCCATGTGTGCCTCCTGTGGCTCTGCTGTGCTAGCGCTACATGTGGGTGGTGTAGAGCTGGTCCACCAGTTTCGTCAGCTGCTGGCGCCGGTGGTGCAAGCAGTAGATCCAGTAGTCGTTCCGCAGGATCAGCGCCAGATGGCTCTTGAAGACCACATAGGTGTCGGCGGCAAAGAGGCACTCCCCCATCGAGTGGAAAGCCGTCCTCCGAGCGCCTGGGTGCTCATCCTCTTCTCCACCCTCCTCATGGGACACCTTGCGCGATGTGTCCTTGCTCACCGGCACAGATGGCTGCGGCAAATGCATGAAGGACATGCTGCAGCTCTGGCTTGAGGTGATAGTCGAGTAGGCCAGGGAGAGGTCGGGGAAGGGGAGGAGGGAGGTCCGCTGAGTGCCGGTCGGCTGCACCTGGGGCACTGGGACGTCAGGCAACGCCGTGGTGTCGTCTTGTGGCTGCTTTGCCGCGGTCGCTAGGTCCTGCTGTTGCTCGGGGCGGGCATCTTGGTAGCGAATGAAGTCACTGACACGCAGAAACCACACGCACCGCACAAGGGGGAATACACGGACGGTTTGATCGCTATCTCTGTGTGCGTCTGTGTCTGTATCTGTGCACACCGGTAGCAGTGGAGCAGCTTCACTACAACGGTCGCAAAGGTTGCTTGCGTGATCAGCCTGATCGTTCTCCTCACTCTCCGACGGCACCGCACCACCAACAACCCTCCCACTCCCCAGCTGCTGCGCGTCGCCCCCGCGGCTCTCAGGTCGGCTCCCAGTCGTTTGGTGATCGACATCCTGCTGTGCGTCTGATGGGGATAGCAGGGGCCGCTTGGCACAGAGGCGAGTCTTGGAGGACATCACTTGTGGGTAGAGAGACCGAATGACACGCTGGGAGTCGGCCTCTGTGGTGGTAGGGATGGACGAGGTCAGCGAGACGGCCGATCTCACCTCAGCCTGCCGGCCGCGTCATGCCTCCCCCACACGGTTTTCTTGCTCACGCTGCTCGGCTCGACGGCTGCTCGCTCAGCCGCTCCAGTATCATGCCCTCCAGCTCGGCCTTGGCGGCGCTCTCAGGAGATGCCGAAAGCACCTCAACGATGCTCGTCTGAGTGACGTGCTCAGGAGGGATCGCCGACTTGCCCGCCTCAGTCGTGTCCACTCGCCGTGCCAATTAACCACTTGCCCCCTCCCCCCTCCCCCCTGTCCTCAGTGGCCGTCCCCCTCGATTCCTGCGATCTGCCGTAGCTGCTGCTCATGCGTTGACACGTCCCCCGACTCCCCCACAGCCACACATGCTCTGGACGGCGCCCCGTATTTGTTGGCCGAGCCAGTCGGCAGCACTGACTGCCGCCGACCAGCCGAAGGCGGTGGCGGTGCAAGCGTCCTGCCACGCCGACCGCACCTCCCAGAGGAGGGGGTCGTCGGTGGCCTCCCACAGCTCCCAGCGGCCGCTAAATGGATTCTCCTTCCAGCCGCCGTCGATTAGACAGTCGACCCGCACCCATTTGGCCGTGAATGCCTGGAAGTCGATCTCATGGGCACGACTGATGTGGATGGGTGCGGGCCCGTCATCGTCCATGGTGCGGCGCTGGTGGGGCTGGTAGGCGGGGGTGTATGGGTGGATGGGGTGGGGGAGGTGGCGTGCGGGTGGCGCAATCGTGTGGGCGGGGGGATAGATGCAGTTGGGGAGGCCTAAGAGGGGCGGGGCCGCTGGGATGGGAGCCGCCGGGATGGGGGCCGCTAGGATGGGAGCCGCCGGGATGGGGGCCGCTGGAGGCGGCACGTCGCCGGCAATTGGGCCAACTGCTGATAGATGGAAACACAAACAAACAGAGACAGGGAGAGAGCAGACATGACATGAGAGGTGTCCTGTCCCCCCATACCCACCCATCCACCCATTCATCCATCCATTACTTACCCTCTTCAATCCACTGAGACATTGGCTCCTCCTCTGCATTGTCCACATCGCCCTCGAGTGGCTCGTCGAGGGTGCGGGTGCGGGCGCGGGCGTCTCGGGCACCTCCCTGTCGCTGTCCTCGGCCGCTGCTGCTGGTGGGGGGAGTGCTGCCGCCATATGAGCCGCTTCCGGGAGAGGGGAGTCGGGGATGGCATCACGGGACGCAGGGGACGCACCGGAATCCCCTGACGCCGCCGTCTCGTCACCCGAGTCCTCCCTGGCTGCCCGCTCCTCCACGGGCACCTCCTCACACACACCGCGGGCGGCTGCTGATGGGCCGGGGACGGGTTGCTCGTCCAGCCTCACCGCCTGGCGGACGGCAGGCGACTCCAGCAGCTCCAGCGCGGCGAACAGCTGTTCGTGGATGTGCTCGACTGTTGCCCTCTCGCCCTGCCTCTCCCTCAGCACCGCCTCTGCGACGCCGGCGTGGATGTCCGCCCACCGCTTCACCCACCACAGGTCGGCCTCGTGGCAGATCTGCTCGAGGGGCCAGGAGAGCTGCCCGCCGTGCAGTGGGTAGCCGTCAGGGCTCATGAAGTACTCGCGCACTTCATCCCACTGCAGCATCATCTGCTGCTCCCTCTCCTGGGGGTCCATCCCCTCCGGCGCCTCCAGCATGGCGGTGTGATAGGCCACCCGCCCTCCAATGGTGGAGAACACCAGCAGTCCCAAGCCGTATGCCACGCTGGGTAGCCCCACGAGGACGGCCTCCTCCCTCCCCTCGCCCGTGAGCAACCCGTCGTCACGCATCTCCCGACGCAGACGGCACCAGCCCTCGAAGATCTGCCGACTCGTGTCGGGAGGCATCTCGTCCTCCTCTTCCTCGCCATCCTCTGAGTCGTCGTCTTCACTGTCGTCATCCTCATCGGATGAGTCGTCGTCGTCACTCTCCTCGCTCTCCCCCTCTGACTCGTCGGCCTCGTCGTCTTGAACGTCGGATGGGCCGTCCTCTTGTCTTTCGTCTGCCGCCACCTCATCTTGGCTGTCGTCTGCCGCCGCCTCCTCTTGGCCCGCTGAGGTGGAGCCACAGCCCAGCAACATCGCCCACTGCTCGGGAGACCTGAACCAACACGTGCCAACCGGGCGGGCGTCCTGGTTCTGAAGGTCCTCGTCGAGCGGGACGCGGGCAGGCCTGGGGCCGAGGAACTCTGGGGCGGGCGGGTGGGCTGTGGGGGAGGGTGTTTCGGGGGCTGCGATGCTGTTGGCGTAGTCGATGAAGAGCGCCCCGTTGTCATTTGAGTGGCGCTGCAGGGTGCCGTCGGGGCTGTGGAGGACGGACCGCGGCAGCATGATGTTGTTTACGAAGCCGTCGAGGCAGTAGATGCCGTGGTTGGCTACGGCGCCTCGGTGCGCTTGCGTGGTCATGATGAGGGCCTTCGACACGACCTTCAGGTCCGCCAAGAGCCCTCTCATGGCCTGGTTGCGGTCCCTCATGCAGCCCGCCTCAAACCTCGTCAGCACATAACCCAGCCCGTAGCGGGTCTGCTCGCATCCCATCCACCCAAACAGACGGTTCAGCTCCACATACACGTCACCTGTACCAACACCCCACACACACACGTACAGAGAACATCAGAACCCTCACCCTGCCACTCGTGCGCTATTCACTCGTTCTTTCTCCCGGCCTTGCTGCCTCATTCATCAAAAGTATGTGTGAATCTCACTCAGCTCACCCAGCAGTGGTGGTTCGGCCTTAAACAGGGACTTCTTGGTGCTGCCATCTGGGCTCGTGTAGTAGGCGGGGCGCTCGAGGTCGGCGTCTGCAGCGTAGAGCTTGAGGAACGGGCTGGTGCCGGCGGCCCGGCGCATCCGCCGCACCTCCGTCCTCATATCACGAGCGGCCCTCTGAATCTCCTCCTCCGTCAGCCCCTCCAGCAACACTATCTTGACGGCCGCATCATCGGTGGCACTGCTGCCGTGTCGGGGCACCCTCCCTCGAAGGACGAATGCCGTTGCGCCGACGCCCAGGGTGGCAGCTCCTTCGTCCTCGAACTCGATGACGCGGCCGTCGCTAGACAGGAGTTTGCTCGCACACATCAAACACATCGCTGCTCTTCTCTCGCAACGAATACGCTCCGCCAACCAACCTCTTCGCGATCGCCAGCGCGCAGAAAAGTTTACGGTGAAGAAGGAAGGCAGAGGAATGCAGATAGGAAGGAAGTGAGCGTTCCCGCCGTCTATTCTATTACGATTTTCAGCGATGATGGACTCCTCGGGAAACTTGCATTAACCGTAACACTCGTCTGTGTGTCCGTGATACTCATAAACATACAGTCCCATGAGCACGCAGAGTCAAACGCTCACGGGGAGGAGGGATCGATCCCCGCCCCATCAGCACACCCCAGTCCCG